TCAGTCAACAATAGTGAAGCACCGCCTACTTACCTGTCAGTCAACAATAGTGAAGCGCCGCCTACTTACCTGTCAGTCAACAATAGTGAAGCGCCGCCTACTTACCTGTCAGTCAACAATAGTGAAGCGCCGCCTACTTACCTGTCAGTCAACAATAGTGAAGCGCCGCCTACTTACCTGTCAATCAACACTAGTGAAGGGCCGCCTACTTACCTGTCAGTCAACAATAGTGAAGCGCCGCCTACTTACCTGTCAGTCAACAATAGTGACGCGCCGCCTACTTACCTGTCAGTCAACAATAGTGACGCGCCGCCTACTTACCTGTCAGTCAACAATAGTGACGCGCCGCCTACTTACCTGTCAGTCAACAATAGTGACGCGCCGCCTACTTACCTGTCAGTCAACAATAGTGACGCGCCGCCTACTTACCTGTCAGTCAACAATAGTGACGCGCCGCCTACTTACCTGTCAGTCAACAATAGTGACGCGCCGCCTACTTACCTGTCAGTCAACAATAGTGACGCGCCGCCTACTTACCTGTCAGTCAACAATAGTGACGCGCCGCCTACTTACCTGTCAGTCAACAATAGTGACGCGCCGCCTACTTACCTGTCAGTCAACAATAGTGACGCGCCGCCTACTTACCTGTCAGTCAACAATAGTGACGCGCCGCCTACTTACCTGTCAGTCAACAATAGTGACGCGCCGCCTACTTACCTGTCAGTCAACAATAGTGACGCGCCGCCTACTTACCTGTCAGTCAACAATAGTGACGCGCCGCCTACTTACCTGTCAGTCAACAATAGTGACGCGCCGCCTACTTACCTGTCAGTCAACAATAGTGACGCGCCGCCTACTTACCTGTCAGTCAACAATAGTGACGCGCCGCCTACTTACCTGTCAGTCAACAATAGTGACGCGCCGCCTACTTACCTGTCAGTCAACAATAGTGACGCGCCGCCTACTTACCTGTCAGTCAACAATAGTGACGCGCCGCCTACTTACCTGTCAGTCAACAATAGTGACGCGCCGCCTACTTACCTGTCAGTCAACAATAGTGACGCGCCGCCTACTTACCTGTCAGTCAACAATAGTGACGCGCCGCCTACTTACCTGTCAGTCAACAATAGTGACGCGCCGCCTACTTACCTGTCAGTCAACAATAGTGACGCGCCGCCTACTTACCTGTCAGTCAACAATAGTGACGCGCCGCCTACTTACCTGTCAGTCAACAATAGTGACGCGCCGCCTACTTACCTGTCAGTCAACAATAGTGACGCGCCGCCTACTTACCTGTCAGTCAACAATAGTGACGCGCCGCCTACTTACCTGTCAGTCAACAATAGTGACGCGCCGCCTACTTACCTGTCAGTCAACAATAGTGACGCGCCGCCTACTTACCTGTCAGTCAACAATAGTGACGCGCCGCCTACTTACCTGTCAGTCAACAATAGTGACGCGCCGCCTACTTACCTGTCAGTCAACAATAGTGACGCGCCGCCTACTTACCTGTCAGTCAACAATAGTGACGCGCCGCCTACTTACCTGTCAGTCAACAATAGTGACGCGCCGCCTACTTACCTGTCAGTCAACAATAGTGACGCGCCGCCTACTTACCTGTCAGTCAACAATAGTGACGCGCCGCCTACTTACCTGTCAGTCAACAATAGTGACGCGCCGCCTACTTACCTGTCAGTCAACAATAGTGACGCGCCGCCTACTTACCTGTCAGTCAACAATAGTGACGCGCCGCCTACTTACCTGTCAGTCAACAATAGTGACGCGCCGCCTACTTACCTGTCAGTCAACAATAGTGACGCGCCGCCTACTTACCTGTCAGTCAACAATAGTGACGCGCCGCCTACTTACCTGTCAGTCAACAATAGTGACGCGCCGCCTACTTACCTGTCAGTCAACAATAGTGACGCGCCGCCTACTTACCTGTCAGTCAACAATAGTGACGCGCCGCCTACTTACCTGTCAGTCAACAATAGTGACGCGCCGCCTACTTACCTGTCAGTCAACAATAGTGACGCGCCGCCTACTTACCTGTCAGTCAACAATAGTGACGCGCCGCCTACTTACCTGTCAGTCAACAATAGTGACGCGCCGCCTACTTACCTGTCAGTCAACAATAGTGACGCGCCGCCTACTTACCTGTCAGTCAACAATAGTGACGCGCCGCCTACTTACCTGTCAGTCAACAATAGTGACGCGCCGCCTACTTACCTGTCAGTCAACAATAGTGACGCGCCGCCTACTTACCTGTCAGTCAACAATAGTGACGCGCCGCCTACTTACCTGTCAGTCAACAATAGTGACGCGCCGCCTACTTACCTGTCAGTCAACAATAGTGACGCGCCGCCTACTTACCTGTCAGTCAACAATAGTGACGCGCCGCCTACTTACCTGTCAGTCAACAATAGTGACGCGCCGCCTACTTACCTGTCAGTCAACAATAGTGACGCGCCGCCTACTTACCTGTCAGTCAACAATAGTGACGCGCCGCCTACTTACCTGTCAGTCAACAATAGTGACGCGCCGCCTACTTACCTGTCAGTCAACAATAGTGACGCGCCGCCTACTTACCTGTCAGTCAACAATAGTGACGCGCCGCCTACTTACCTGTCAGTCAACAATAGTGACGCGCCGCCTACTTACCTGTCAGTCAACAATAGTGACGCGCCGCCTACTTACCTGTCAGTCAACAATAGTGACGCGCCGCCTACTTACCTGTCAGTCAACAATAGTGACGCGCCGCCTACTTACCTGTCAGTCAACAATAGTGACGCGCCGCCTACTTACCTGTCAGTCAACAATAGTGACGCGCCGCCTACTTACCTGTCAGTCAACAATAGTGACGCGCCGCCTACTTACCTGTCAGTCAACAATAGTGACGCGCCGCCTACTTACCTGTCAGTCAACAATAGTGACGCGCCGCCTACTTACCTGTCAGTCAACAATAGTGACGCGCCGCCTACTTACCTGTCAGTCAACAATAGTGACGCGCCGCCTACTTACCTGTCAGTCAACAATAGTGACGCGCCGCCTACTTACCTGTCAGTCAACAATAGTGACGCGCCGCCTACTTACCTGTCAGTCAACAATAGTGACGCGCCGCCTACTTACCTGTCAGTCAACAATAGTGACGCGCCGCCTACTTACCTGTCAGTCAACAATAGTGACGCGCCGCCTACTTACCTGTCAGTCAACAATAGTGACGCGCCGCCTACTTACCTGTCAGTCAACAATAGTGACGCGCCGCCTACTTACCTGTCAGTCAACAATAGTGACGCGCCGCCTACTTACCTGTCAGTCAACAATAGTGACGCGCCGCCTACTTACCTGTCAGTCAACAATAGTGACGCGCCGCCTACTTACCTGTCAGTCAACAATAGTGACGCGCCGCCTACTTACCTGTCAGTCAACAATAGTGACGCGCCGCCTACTTACCTGTCAGTCAACAATAGTGACGCGCCGCCTACTTACCTGTCAGTCAACAATAGTGACGCGCCGCCTACTTACCTGTCAGTCAACAATAGTGACGCGCCGCCTACTTACCTGTCAGTCAACAATAGTGACGCGCCGCCTACTTACCTGTCAGTCAACAATAGTGACGCGCCGCCTACTTACCTGTCAGTCAACAATAGTGACGCGCCGCCTACTTACCTGTCAGTCAACAATAGTGACGCGCCGCCTACTTACCTGTCAGTCAACAATAGTGACGCGCCGCCTACTTACCTGTCAGTCAACAATAGTGACGCGCCGCCTACTTACCTGTCAGTCAACAATAGTGACGCGCCGCCTACTTACCTGTCAGTCAACAATAGTGACGCGCCGCCTACTTACCTGTCAGTCAACAATAGTGACGCGCCGCCTACTTACCTGTCAGTCAACAATAGTGACGCGCCGCCTACTTACCTGTCAGTCAACAATAGTGACGCGCCGCCTACTTACCTGTCAGTCAACAATAGTGAAGCGCCGCCTACTTACCTGTAGTCAACAATAGTGAAGCACCGCCTACTTACCTGTCAATCAACAATTGCACTAAAACAAGGGATTTAAACCTCTGTCTCTGTGTAGGAGACGAGCCCTCCTAAGAAACCCGAATGTCAGAACTTCCTGAAGGCTCACTCTCTGTGTGGCACTGGAGGTCGACCGCTGCTCTGCCGCTCAGAGAGCGGGCCGCCACCAGCTGCAGGAGACTCGGATTCTGAGGTGTGTAATATACTTATATACATACTAAAATAGACATTAGTCCTCTGTCTTTCGTAGGAGTAGTGTCTCTCTCATTGTGAGGTGTTTATGTGTGTATAGATGCATGTGAGAGGACACACGGTGGACTTTGTGAGTCATAACGCTCGTGCCGCGGGGAAGACGAACCTGAGGAGATCTCAGTCCTTACAGAACCTCCGAGAAAAACCACCACCCAGCGCCGTGAAGGGCAAAGTGCCACAATAGTGAGTCATTGATTTAAACTAGCAATGGGATCTGTGGGATTTTGCAGTGTTTTTAAAAGAAGTCTCTATTGCTCACAAAGACTGCATTTATTCGATCAAAACTACAGTAAAAACAGTGAAATATTATTACAATTTAAAAAACTGTTTTCTATTGTAATACATATTCAAATGTACTTTATTCCTGTGAGTCAAAGCTGAATTTCCAGCATCATTACTTCCGTCTTCAGTGTCACGTGATCTTCAGAAATCAGTATAATATGCTGATTTGCTGCTCAAGAAACATTTCTGATTATCACTGTTGAAAACAGTTGTGCTGCTGAATATTTTTGTGGAAACAAGGATGCAAAGGATTCTTTTATGAACAGAAAGTTCAAAAGAACAGCATTTATTTGAAACCGAAATCTTTTTTAACATTACAAATGTCTTTAATGTCACTTTTGATCCATTTAATGCGTCCTTGCTGAATAAAAGTATTTTTTTCTTTCTTACGGACCCCAAACTTTTGAATGTTAGTATATAATCTTGAAATTTGTTTGTTTTTTAAATTCTCATTACTGTCATTACTGTAGTAATAATGCATTTTGAATATTTGTTTATTAGAATCAGTATAAAGGCAGTACATTTTCTTAATGAAAAATAGAATTTGTACTGTTTTACATGTTTATTTCTACTGCTTCCCATGTATTCTGCATACTGCATCAGTGCATCATTTTGGACTAAACATTGACCTTCTAAATGCACAGTTAACTAATCGAAATACATCGGTTTTGTAGACATAAGGTCTGTTCGAAACAAGAAACTTCACTTTAGTGGGATATTAGACCTATCTTTACACCCAAATTGTAAATAAAACCGCAATAATCACCATTTTTGCAGTTTAATACATGCTATCAGGGCACAGATGCATCTACAAAATAAAAGTACTCAGTGTTTACATTTTCAATTATAAATAAAATAATGCATATTTTAAAATTATTATATACTAGATATTTTTTATATATGTTTACGTTTAGTACATATTGTTTGGTAGCCCAGCTATGATCCGATTCTCCTGATTTGTTTGTTTATTCGATAAATGTCGAAAAGCATTTTATAGTAATATTTTGCAGCTAATGCACTGAGGCATATCTAAACTCTTAGTCTTAATGGTGTTTCTCGTTTCAGAGTTGGCCAATTATGAGAGAAATGTCAACAGAGCCATCCATAAATACAATGCTTACAGGCAAGACAGTCTTATCTAAAGTGTCTAATAAGGTAAGAAATTATACCATAATTAGACACATGGCATATGTAACTTGTCTGGTGTTTTCTGTTCAGAAAAGCAGCATCTGTGATTACCAAATACCCTCAGAAGATCAAAAGTGGGGCCGAAGCAAAGAAACTGGTACGGGTTTGTTGTTTTTACTATTATTAAAGGGGTCATATGATGCGATTTCAATGTTTCCTTTCTCTTTGGAGTGTTACAAGCTCTTGGTGCATAAAGAAGATCTGTAAAGTTGCAAAGACTAAAGTCTCAAATCCAAAGAGATATTCTTTATAAAAGTTCAGAGTCAGCCACGCCTACCTAAAACGGCTCGTTCTAACACGCCCCCACATGTCTACCTCACTATGTGGGAAGATTTGCATAATGCCGCCCAAATGTTGACGCAAAGAAAGAAGGCGTAACTTTTAGTCTCACTGTAGTACTGTTGCTGCCGCCGCCATGTCGTGAAGACGCTGTGTGTTTCGTTGTGAAAGTGAAACTACTTTGTTTGGGCTTCCAAAAGAGGACGATATCCGCTTCGTCATGCCTAGAGCTGATCTGTGCTGGTCGCTGAGGAAATACAACAACTTCGCGCTGT